TATATATATATATGTATACATGCGTGGCGTGTCGCAGGGACGCCACTTCACTCTGTAGCTCGTTGGGCCACGCGCTTGGATGACTTAGCTCATGCGCCTCGGCTCGACTTCAGTCGGTGACTTTGTGGCTTCGGGCTTTGAGTTGGGGTTTAGGGTTTAGGGTTTTGGGTGGACGGCTGAGGGTGGTGGGTGTGGGTTTTCCGCTTAGGTTGGGGGCATGTTCCCTAAACCGTGTATTAAGTGCAAAGACCGCTCTCCCGAATGGGGTGATTCGGGTGCCGAGCTTATGGAAATTCGGAGAAGGAATCAGCATCTCCACTGCGATGACGAACGTAAAGAGTTGTGGAGGATCTGAGTCGGTCCAGCGCTTTCTGAGGTGTTGGCTTGGGGGCGCTGTGCGGCGCCCAGGGATCAGCCAACATCGCAAGTCCAGCACTGCCTCGGCCCTAAGAAGGACCCTTACAAACCCTGAACCCTAAGCCTGAACCCTAAACCCTAAACCCTAAACCCTAAACCCTAAACCCTAAACCCTAAACCCTAAACCCTAAACCCTAAACCCTAAACCCTAAACCGCAACAGCCCGAACCCTCTGCCGAGGCTCGGAGGCGGACAAGTCCAAACCAACTTGGGCCTCAGCCCCGCTGCATCCTGGCACCGAAGCCTTACGTCGATCCAAGCTGACTTTAGGGTTTAGGGTTCAGGGTTTAGGGTTCAGGGTTCAGGGTTTAGGGTTTAGGGTTCAGGGTTTAGGGTTTAGGGTCTAAAATTACACCCTTCCGGCAGCAAGCCATGAAATCTTGGGGCTTGGGCTGAGTTAGGGAGTTGTGGGCTTGAAGCACTGGAGTGTAAAATGGCCAGGGGTTGTCAAAGATCGGGCTCTTCTAACTAGTTCGGATTTGCTACAGCTCCCTGCTTTGAGAGTTCGGGTTTCTGGTGGTTGTTTCTGATGCTGTGCTGTTCGAGATGATGATGTCGGGGAGCATCCGCCAGCGAATCCAAAGCCCAAGCTCGGAGTTCAGGAATGTCATGATTAGAGTAGGGTTTAGGGGCCCATTATACTATAGTTCTTTTAAGGAACCCCAAGATAGTGTAGGTACTTATTATTACAGTAGGGTTTAGGGGCCCATTATACTATAGTTATTATAAGGAACCCCCAAGATAGTATAGGTACTTATCTATCATATGCAGTCAACTAGGTGGTGGATCTTGACGAGTCGGCTCAAGAGGCTCAACCAAAGCTCCCAAGCTCTCCTCTCCGGAGTTTTGTGGATCCAGGCGGGTGCTGCAGTTCACTCGTCTTGGCCTGACCTTCTTCATCCAGGGCGAGGAGGGAAAGTTCCTCGGAGAATGTTCGGCGGGTTAGGGTTTTACGTCAGATTCTCGAGAGTATGTACTTTTCTGAGAAGGGGGATCCGCCAAGTCTTGGTGGCCTCGGAGTTCTTTTGCCATAGCGGCCATAGCGCACTGCAGGGGATCTTCGCACATGTCATGCCATGTGATGCAACGCCACCCTGGCATTCAGTCCCTACAATCAGGGTAGGATTCGGATTCGGGTAAGAAGGGCTCTCCACAGCATCAGAACTTGATGGTAGATGTGCGGGGCTGGGGAATCTATGAAGTATGGTCAGGTCCGGCCTCGATCCTGTCTTCTCACTACTTTCACCGTGATTACATCATCTATCTTGTCCAGCATGGGATCACTCAACCCTGGACCCCAAGGCCCATAGGCCCCTCCGTCGCAGCCAGGAAACAACCCCGGCTTAGAGTTTAGGGCCTTATGAGCTTTCCCCTAGCTGTCAGGGCAGGAACCCACTGGCAAAAGAGACCCAAACCCTAAACCCTAAACCCCAAACCTCAACCCCTAAACCCTAAACCCTAAACCCCTAAACCCTAAACCCCTAAACCCTAAACCCTAAACCCCAAACCCTAAACCCTGAATCCCAGGCAGCGTCTTGTTTCAGCGGACTTCGGGAACCTGAGCGTCCCGCAAGCACCGATCGCCGAGCAGGTCTGGACTCGTTTGGGCTTGTAAGGTTTGGGGTTTAGGGTTTAGGGTTTAGGGTTTGGGTTGAAAGATTTCTGGATCTGGACGTGGCGGCTGAAGCTTAAACAACAGGAAAGCTTTGGCTTCTGGGTGTTGGGAGGACCTTACTATATATTATATATTATATATAAGGAACCCTGCACCCGGTCACAGGTAGCCAAGCTGCTCGCCGGCGTGCCACACTCCGTTGTGCTCTGCGCAACTCGCTTGTGATTTTCGGTTTAGGGTTTAGGGTGCCCAGATTTCCTCACACTTGCAATGGAGCTGAGTGGGAGGTCTGGGACACACCTAATCCTATGCGTCCAGCGAGACGAGTAAAGTGTAGAAGCAGCGGGTCCCGCGTTGTGATCGGATTTCGTCACTTAGATCAGGTATCGATCTGGTTTCTTGCAGGGCAAGGCTTGCAATCTGCAATCTGGGATCCACAGCCAAGGATGAGATGCAGGCTTTGCATGTGCTGGTGCCGCAAGCGCTGCCGGTGAGACCTGCCGTCAAGGGCCGACCCTTCACCACGGACATTGCGGGGACCTCAGCAATTCCTGCCTGCTGAAGGTAAGGTTTGACTTTGGGGAGTCAGCTGGCATGGTGAGGTCAGTAGTAGTTAGTAGCAATAGTAGAAGGAGGAGGAGGAGGCAGGCGCGGAGCAGCTAATCGTTGTCATGAGTTATCGTCGTCGTCGTCGTCGCAACGGAGGAGCCGTACAAGGTAGGTTGCAGAGAACCCCCCACTGCATGGTTCATGGTGCAAACCTTGTGGCCCTTAAGCACCCTGTACCATTCGCGTCAGAGCGAATTCTGCCGCTGCAGGTTTTTGAGAAGCTGAACAAGTTCGGAAAGCAGTGGAGCTCGAAAGCCAAGGCACGGGCAGCAAGCAGATGCTCGAGGATCACTCCCTAAACCCTGAACCCTAAACCCTAAACCCCTAAACCTTAACCCCTAAACCCTGAACCCAAATCCCTCCTAAACCGCATTTCGGCGCAGGTCACATACTTCAAGTACGAGGTCCACGTTTCCAAAGGCTTCCTTATCGCGCCTTCTTTCTCGTCGGCAATGCCTCTTGGACTCCGAGGTCAGGTTTTGTTGGTATCAGGTTTCCTGTTCATGTGGGTAGTTTTCTAAATTAGGGTCCTTTTTAGGGTCCTTTTTATAAAGGTGCCGTACTATCTTGGGGACCTAAAAGGGGACCCTAATTTAGAGAACTACCCATGTGGCTCTCAACCTTCACAGCAGTAGACCTGCAGGGCTTTGTTTGCCCGGCAGAATACGATAGCCATGTCGCCTGGCATAGGGTGGGATTTGGCAGAGACGCCGGAGCCATTCGTGCTTGTGCTGTTAATCTTTCTGATGCTGACAGTGATGCCGAAAATGATGACCGGCGGACTGCTTCTGACTTTGCCAAATATGACCACATGTAGGCAGAAAGTGAGAGAGAGTGAGTGAGAGTTGCGAAGATACATATGTACAACATACACCAGGTGTAAAGCTGGAAGCCCACTGGAGACACACACACACACATACCCACCCACACACACACAAACACACACACACACACACACGCACACACCCACACCCACACCCACACCCACACCCACACCCACACCCACACCCACACCCACACCCACACCCACACGCACACGCACACGCACACGCACACGCACACGCACACGCACACGCACACGCACACGCACA